CTGCGCACACGCGTGTGTGCCCCAGGCGTGGTGAAGCCCGACACATACAAGCCGGTGCCGGATGAGCCCCCGAATCCCACCAACGTGGAGGAGACACTGCGGCAGATCCAGGCCAACGACGGGGCTCTGGAGGACGTCAACCTCAACAACATCAAGGTGAGGGACCTGGTGGCGGTGTCCCCAGGGTGTCCCCAAGGTGCTAGTCCCGGTCCTGGGGTGCCAATCCCCATCCTGGGGTGTCCCCATGGGGCTGATCCCTATCCCAGGGTGTCTCCAGGGCACCCCAAGGTACTGGTCGCCATGCTGGGGCATCACTGTGGCCCCCGGAGCATCCCCAGGGTGTCCCTGGGTGCTGCTCCCCGCCCAGGATGGTGCCAGGGTGATGGGTCCTACCCTGGGGTGTCCCCATGAGGCTTGGCCACCCTGTCCCAAGGTGCTGCTCGCTGTCCCGGGGTGTCCCTGGAGGGTTGTCCCTGTCTTGGGGCATCCCTGAGGTGTCTGTCCCCATCCTAGAGTGGCTCCAGGGCACCCCAGGGTGCTGGTCCTCATCCAGGGGCATCCGTGTCCCCGTGGCGACATCCCACATCCCTTCAGTGCCATTTACATCCCTCGTGTGACATCCAGCACCCTCTCGGGGATGCCCCTGTGCCCTTGGAGACATCTCCACCCCCTTGACGCCACTTACAGCCCCTTGGCGACACCCACATCCCCCCGGGGGTGTCCCCATCCCCTTGGTGACATCCATGTCCCCCTGCCGCAGGACATTCCCATCTCCACGCTGAAGGCCATCTGCGAGGCCATGAAAGCCAACACTCACGTCAAGAAGCTCAGCCTGGTGGCCACCCGCAGTAACGACCCCGTGGCCAGCGTGAGTCCCAGCCCGTGTCCCCCAAGACAGGGAGGGGACACGGTCCCCTGGCCCCAGCTCCATCCTGGGCACCAGGCTTTCCCACCGTCCCCTGGGGCATCGGTGGCCCAGGACATGCCAGAGGCACATGCCAGAGGCGGGGTGACACCCCGAGGTGACACCCCGAGGTGACACGCAGGCCGTGGCCGAGATGCTGATGGAGAACAAGACCCTGCAGAGCCTCAACATCGAATCCAACTTCATCACCAGCGCCGGCATGATGAGCATCATCAAGGCCATGTACCACAACGCCACCCTGAGCGAGCTCAAGGTGGACAACCAGGTAGGGACGGGCACCCGTGGGTGGCCCGGGGAGGGGACATGGGCGTCCCCGACTTCCCGGTGTGCCCGGTTTCACCCCGGCCCCACAGTGCCAGCGGCTGGGCGACACGGTGGAGATGGAGATGGCCACCATG